AGAATTGACGTTCTGAAGTTTATCCAGCTCGACAGTTAGTTAAAAGAAGGGTAACATTTTGATTCTACTGTTGCCTCTTGAATTTGGAAGGGGAATTTTGGATAAAGTGTTTCTGGAAAAAGAAAGATTGTTGCTGTTGCTTTTATTCCTTTAAAAAAAAATAAAAATGTCCATAGAGTGGAATTTAGTGAAATTGCAACGCAGAGAGATTAAAAGAGAAGGACTATTGGACTATTGTCGTGGGAAAGAATTTTCTTTGACCTTGAAGGACAATGCTAGTACAAAGGCTTGAACAATTGTTCCTGGAAGGTTTTTCAAAACTAAGTGCCCAGCTGGACCAGATGCGTCAGGAGACGACCTTGATGATGGAAGTTACCAGAGCACAGCAGCAAACAAATGAAATTCAGTTAAAGGCTATACAAGCATATGAACCTGCTGTAGTGACGGAGGCTTCAGAGATGGAGGGACCTTTGGACGGGCAAGATCAGCCTTTGAACTTGATAAATGAACTTGGGACAAACCAGATTCGGAAAGATGAAATGTGGTCAGATTTGGAAATGTGGGATGGATCGACCCCTCCATATGGTTATTTGGACCTTCCGAGTCTGGTGATGGGCTATCAGAGGATTGGAGTAGCCGAAGTCTCCAAGCTTTGTGGAAATTTGAAGTGGTATTATTTGCTGTCTGGCTTGGGCAATGGGTTTGGGATGGACTTGCTGCAAAGGGTCAAAAGCATTTTCTTGCTGGAGCATCCACGACTGGAAAGGAATCATCAACAAGAGTGGCGAAAGGGGCAAGAAAGAGACTTGAGGGCCTCGGATACGAGACAACCAGGTTAAGGAGCCGGATTATCGAGGTTAAAAGGACTGACAATCCCGGGTCCAGGGGAGGGAGGTTGGAAGCTGACTGGACTGAATTTGACTTATTATTTTTTCTTTTTTATTTTTAATATTGGGAATGCTTACAAATGTTTGAAGGATGTTGAATGAAATTACATGGCTTAAGTAAGGATTGGTAAATGATTCAGTAAAAGGTAATGATGCAAGAATTTGGTAAATATTGAATATAAGCTATGAGTTTTAAAGTTTTTATATGACAAGAGGGAAAATAGAATAAGGAAACATAATGACAGATTGTTATGAAAAAACAGAAAGGATTTGCTGTAAAAATTAAAAATTAAGAAACAAAAGAGGGGAGGAGGAGGAAGTCTAGAAAGGAAGTCAATAGAGATTGTAAAGGACTTTATATTTTTGTTTTTCTGTTTCTCTTTTTTTTTCTTTGCGGCTGGGTTTTCTTTTCTTTTTTGTTTATGTACTATTTTTGTTTTTTGTATCCTCAAATTTTTTTTGGAAATTTTTGTTGTTATTCTTTGAAAATTTAATAAATATCAATTATGAAAAAATAAACTTATCTGTTGTCAGTGGAAACCAAACCAACTTCAAATTACGAAGTTGGCTTGCTTCCACTAGCCATAAATTAAGATTAACCACAGTTCAGGATTTCGTTGGCACACTAAACTATGGTTAATCTAAAATGGCAAGAGAAGCTTCTGATCGTGTCCTTATGGTCACATTGAAGGAGGAAAACAAGCATGCCTGCCTCAGAGGAGGCTGGGTCCATTCTCATAATGCTCAAGCATGGATTAGAAATACAGCCAAACAGAGCCAGTATTTTTCTCTTCTCGTCTGTTTTAGAAACTGTAAATTGTGGGCATGGAAGCTAGGAAATCATATTATGGCTGGCCTGAACTCAGTTCTTCTCTGTCTGGCTTTTTAGAAAATAAATAGTTTTGTACATAGATATTCATCAGATAAGCATCTGATGGAGATAGGATGATGTGCCTTTCTGCTTTAACAACTTTATATTTTCTGGGGAAGAGAAGAAATGTTCCCATATCATATGCAGTACATTGTTATACACTGTAAATTTTGAATTTATGTAGCTGTTGGTAGCCCAGGGTATTTGAGACACAGCTTACATTCTGTGCATTTGCATTTATATTCTCTTTGAGGGAAAATGATACCCTTGCTGTGGACAAGGTTGTAAAACTTCCTTAAAATCAGTTGAAATATCTACCTCAGTATTGTCTACTCTACCCTGACTATCCAGGGCAGGCACCCCCAAACTCGGCCCTCCACCTGTTTTGGGACTACAACTCCCATCATCCATAGCTAACAGGACCAGTGGTCAGCGATGATGGGAATTGTAGTCCCAAAGCAGCTGGCGAGCCGTGTTTGGGGATGCCTGATCCAGGGTATCAGACGGGTCTTTCCAAGCCACACTTGGAGATGTCCGGGACTGAAACTTCCACATGCAAGCAAGGAGGTAGCATTTGAAATGGAAGACCAGTATGTGTGTGTGTGTGAGGGGAGAGATTAGCAACTTCTAACATTCTCGGTTTGCGCTGTTTTTCATTGAAAATCACTCAAGTGCACAGAAAATAAGAGCTTGGAGACCAAGCATGGATAGGTGGTTCACGTACTTCTCTTTTTTCAGGCTTAAATATGTTGGATTTTACTCTGCTGCTATGCAGCTGACAAAGTATGCTCCAGCCCACGAGAGCTTATAGCACAATAAATTTGCTGGTCCTTAAGATTCTGCAGGAGTCTAACTTTCTGCTGTACAGTATTTGTTACAGCAGACGATAATGGCCATATTTCTAGAAGGGATTTCTACTATAACATTTCAACAAGGTACTAGATTAATTTCAAGCTATTTGACAGCAACTGTTGGGGAATATTAGCAATGGATTTTTGATTTTTTTTTAGAGAAAGAGAGAGAATAAAATAACACCTGTCTTTTTATTTCTTCTTCTCTCACTTTGTCATTTTATGTGTTTATTCAGTGTTCTGTATTTCATTGTACATTTTATAGCCGCGTTTGAATGGGAAGGTTTTGAGAAAGATGGGATATATGGAGAGGCACATAAAAGTCAACATTTACTAAAGATCAGATCTGTAGATATTTTATTTCTGTAAGGCAGAATTCTTTTCATTGTACCAGTTCAGTGCCACCTCATTATGAAATTGATTTGGAAAGTTGTATGTTGGGTATGTGTGGGAGGGGACATAAACATATTTTGGTTATTAGATCCAGTCTAAAGGTTTTCAAGGAAGCACTTCCTAAACAAACACACACACACACACACACACACACACACGAATTTCTGCCACACACAGTAAACCAGCACTTTACTCTTCACAGAGATCAGTCCATTTCAAACATTTGCCTGTTTGAACATTTGACTTCCTGTGCACCCACATTCCTTCCATGTGGAGTCTCTCTGACTCTCGGCCTCAGAAGAGTGCTGATCTATTTTTAATTTCACTTTCCTCGGGAAAGCTGCATGCTTTCACAATATAAAATACGTATTGCCAAGAAAGCTTCTCCTAGAACAAAATTTAATTGGTTGTCAGGACCATTTCCTGCAGGCACATATATGACCACAGCTTGGACTTGAATACACCAGAGTCTTCAAGCAGATAAGACAATATTTCCATTTTAATTGGGAAATGGTGTGTCCTATAATTTTTTTTCTTAGGTACATTTTAACATCTATGTTGTTTATCTTTATAACTGTGATTTGGCTTGCCCATTCCTTTACATGGGTTTTAAAATGTAACCGTATCATAATTTTTTAATGAATGCTTTTATGCTGGGTGGATGCGGAACAAAACAAGGGAATGGATGGTTTTTTCCTAGAGGAAAAGCTAAATATTTTATGCTGACATCAAAATAACCTGTGCTTCATAAAAGTGATTCAACTGGGGGTGTCTCATCTGGTCTTTCTGTGATTTTCTTGAAGCTTTGGGTAAAAGCAAGGGGTAAAGATTGTATTTTTATCACTCAAAAGTGTCACCTTTCCTTATGGCTAACCTTCCAGGGTCACAAGTCATTGGTGGATGGAACCAAAAAGTTTTTACACACACATAAAGTGTTTTTCCCAGCCTAATTGCCAGTGGTGGGCCATGATCTTTACTGAGATCACAGGACATTGGTGTGCTGGGTTAACCCTTCCCTTCCCATATGTAAGCGACACAAAGATCTCCCCTGCCCATGGAGTAAAAGTCTAGTTGCAATGCAGGAAGTGATTTTCAGCAAGGGGGAGGTCACAGTGCACAGGGAGGGGAGGGTTAACATTTCCGTCCCCAGCTGTGACGCACACAACCTGAAAATGTTTCCCCACAATAATTAGGCTTTTAAAAGATCTTCTGTCTGGCACCAGTAGAAGCTTTTTCAAAATCAGAAAAATGAACCTTAAAAAAACAAAAACCCCAAGCTGATGGCTGCATCAGCACAGAGGGCAATGTAGACAAGGAGCACATCTGGCCAACTATAGCATTTTAATAAAATAAATAGCCAGTATCTATCTGAGGGTAAAGTACAAATGAGCCCATGGTGCTGAAGATAGCTTTGACTTCATAAATGTGATATAAGCTGGGTTTTTTGACATAATTTATATTAACGGTTTTATCAAAGCTATTAAAATGTTTGGGTCAAACAATGCAGTAAGCCCAGGATTATAATGGGGTGAAAAACATGCCTGTGGTCACATCCATCTATTTTAGAATTAATTTTAACAAATATGACTATAGAAGAGAGGTATCTTCATTACATTTCCGAAACCCGTGAGCAAAGCTGCCCTATGCTTATTGACTTGGAATTAATCATGTTTTAGGCTGCTGGTGAAATTAGTAGCTCTCACTTGAAGCCTAGAATTACAGAAACATATTCCCTGTAAATATGCAGGTAATGAGGGCTGGCCAACAATATGCTATGAGCATAGTCTAACAACAACAAACCCTGTGACTTAGCATCACCTTTCTGTTACCTTTGCCTGCTGCTGTCCCCCCAATGGAAAGTTTCAAACTTAACTACTTGCTTGCACATGTATTTATCCTCTTGCTACAGCCACAGAAAGTCATAGAATCGTAGGATTGTAGAGTTGGAAGGGACTATGAGGGTCATCTAGTCCAACTCCCAGCAATGCAGGAATCTTTTGCCCAACGTGGGGCTTGAACCCACAACCCTGAGATTAAGAGGCTCATGTTCTACTGACTGAGCTATCCAGGATATGATCATGATTACGTCAAGGACAGGTCTTTTGGTAGTTGTTTGCCCAGGCATGGGCGTGGTTCATATATCACTTTTAAGCCATAATGATATGGTGGCTTGTATCCAGAGGTAGGCAAGTCACTGATGCAGCATTAACCTACCCAACTGTCCCAAAAAGCTTCCAGGCCATTTGGTCCTGTGATTCTTAAAGCATCCTGGGAAGCTTCTGGTCTCCTCACAACCATGCTGGAGGAAGAAAGGGAAGTACATGATGATAGGGCTCACTCCCATTATGCTAAACCGTAGTTTAGTGTTACATTCACACAAGGCCACTGTTTTATTTTTAGGTTGATATTCCACTTTGCTGGTTTTGTTGGGTGTGTTTAGATACTGCTTACTCTCCCTGAGGGAGGGGGTGGGGAGGTTGCATCACAAAAATAAAGATCAGACGTGTCTAGTTTCTGATGCCGAAAGCTTATTCCTGTCTTGTCTCCATCACAGTCAATTGGAAAAGAATAAGGGCATAAATAATTCCCATCATCTTTAGCAACTGCACCCGGGTCAGATGTTTGCCGCTAGTGTAGTATGATAAATTGACAGTTAACTTGAACAGAACTCATGGAGAGTCGAGGACAATGAGAAGCTCTGAGGAAATAATTATTTTGCTGCCAGGAGTTCATGCATCTCAAATTGTTGGAGCAGCCAGCCAGCCTTCCACTTCTTGGATGTGGTTCAGAGCTGGAACTGCTGACTGCATGATTGCACGAGAGCATAATCATTGAGGTTTTCTCATAGGACTTCACAGAAAGAGTGGAGAGTGGCAAAGGTCAAATTCAAACCATTTCTGTTTGCATGCAAAGAGCAGCAGTAAAGGCTGAAAACCTGAGTTAAGTGATACATTGCTTCCTTTTAGATAAAGTTGAGAAACCTCTGCAGAATCCATTCTAAGGCCCCATCTGCAATGTATGTTCATAGCAGTGCTTTAAACAGTCATGGCTCCCCTCAAAGAAACTTGGGAACTGTAGTCTGTTAAGTATTGTTAAGAGACCAGAGTTCCCCACACAGAGCTACAATTCCCAGAGTTCCAAAGGAAGGATTGACTTCTAAACCACCCTAAAAATTGTAGCTCTGTGAGGGGAATTGGGGCCTCCTAAACATTGCTCAGCACCGTTAACAAATTTCTGTTCCCAAGATTCTTGGGAGGAAGCTCCGACTGTTTAAAGTTGTATGATACTGCTTTAAATATATAGTATGGATATGACCTAACTTATTGCTGCCTTACTAAGGGCAGTGTATGGCAGGTAGGCTGACAGACAGTTTAATAGAAGCTACAGTATATTCTATTTCTGGGGTGGGGAATCTCAAGCTCTGGGTCCAAATGTGGCTACTCAAGTCCCTTTGTCTGGCCTTTGGGACTCTACCCTGGTCATGCCTGCTCCTCTTAAGCCACACTCCATCACCACCACCCATGGCATGTCCCCTTTTTTTGGCTTGTCTGGATGGAAGATAAAGAGGGATGTGTGTAGAAACCAGCCTACTGTTCAAAAGGTAAAATTCACATTTGTTCCTTCTCTCATGTTTGCCCCTGGCCCCATCCATCCTGGACATGCGTCGTCATCCCCCCCCAGTTGCTCAGAAGGAAATGTGGCCCTTGAGCTGTGAAAGGTTCCTCATTCCTTTTGTATTTGGCAGAGTCTAGGGGAGCAATTCAGTGTCACACTCTTCTGATTGTTCTGTCAGCACAAGCATTTTGGCTTGACAGACGACAGGCTTTCCCTCCCTTCTTCTCCCTGTGTGTGGTGTTCCAGGGGCTCTCCTGACCCACACCTCAGACCCAATTTGGGCAGTGTGGGGGAGATAGAAGGGGGAACTCCACTGCAGAAGCAGAAGACCTTGTGCAGGCCTTCTGATGACAGGACTCATTAGTTGAATCCCACCCTAGGTTTGTCCAGAAAGAATATAACTAGTGTAACCAATTAAGAGAACTTTTGGTTTCTTTTATCAGTTCAGTGTGTTTCTTAATGATTCATATTTTCATTACTAGAGCATAACAACTTTTCTTCCCCATTTTGCAAAGCTACATCTGCTGACAAATTAGCCATATTAGCCTGTACCAGCAGATATAAAAATAAAGCACTGAATTTGCGGCATCTTAAAATGACTAATGATGAAGTGAACTCTACTCCATGACGCTGATGCCACAGTAAATACATAAGTCTTTACAGTGCCATAAGTCTTTGTTTTTATTACTGTGTTTACTGTAGTAGACTAACTGGGGTAACTCCAAAAATTGGTTTGGTTTGATTTCCCCATGACTTTTCAACTACATCACCCTGTTGAAGGGGTAAAAGGATTCCCCCACACATCTGGTGCAGTTGTGTGATAGCTCGCCTAGCAATGTAGTTGTGTCCTCTCAGATCACCAGCTTACAAAGTGGATTAATGGGCGCCGCCATTTAGCATAATGCTGGTGAATGAAGTATGAGCACAGGAAAGTTCTCCTAAAAACATGTGACATCTTCTAGCCTAGCAAAAGTACTGTGGAAACTTAACTGATTTGCCTATATGGGGAAGAAGCTTTGAAAAGCAGCTGAGTTGAAGGAAGTGTTTATGCTGGTAGAGAGCCCAAATGTCTCCTTGCATTTGTTCACAACGGTAGCAGCAAAGCTTTATATCAGTGTTTCCACCATTGTCCTCATTGACTTTAGAAGCCAGTTGACTACATACTAAGCAGTACTTTCTATATTAAATGCTGTGGAAACATCCTGGTGTGCTTTCCAGCTCTGGAGAGCACTTTAGTCACAGCAGGAAAATATAAGCAGAGTGAAAATAAGGGCTTTGAGTAATGTGTGGGTACAGCCTGGGCTTTTAAAATAAGCAATAATTAAAATAAGCCATTTACCTTCTTCCTCTTTCCTTTTGGCAGTCACTAGAATAGTGCCTCCACCAAACAGTGGCCAATTTGCAAAGGAGTGTCTGCAAAAACCCAAAACGAAGAGGTGAATGTGGGCAAACGGTTGTGCATTAGGATGCCTTGCATGTATGTGTGCCTGTCATGTTCTTCATTTGGGTTTTCTGTTTATAAACTGTTCATATTTGTGGAATTGATGAGGGAGAATAATAGACGTGCCCCTCATTTCTCTCCCATACATTTGAGCCGAGTTTATAACACACACAGATAGACATAGGTCCTTGATGCTTCTCTAAAGAAATGATATTTAGTTAAGGTTATGATAAACATTATCATAAAGAGATCTCCAACTAACCCATACTCAAAGTAGACTGATTAAAAGCAACCCGCTTCTTACTTAAACCCGTTGGTTTCAATTGATCTATTCTGAGTATGACTAACATTGGCCATCACCCCTAGTAAGCTATTGTTACTTATTATTTGGCAGCTGTCTATTGTCTCTCGGCACTGTGTAAATCTCCTGACTTGAAATTGCCCCTCGGTCTCACTGAAGACAGCACTATATATGCAATTCCTCCACCATAGTGACCCAGAATACATTAGGGGCTGGGTAGTTCAGAGAATGGCAGATGGCTGATAAAAAGCAGAGTGTACCATTTGACATTTCATTGTTTGTGTCTGAGAGGGTATTAACATGAATACATTGTAATTTTTAAATATCATTCAAGTAAATTTATTATTAATGCAACCTGATCCCCACAGATGGTTTGGCAGATGTGGGCCCTGAATTGGGATTTTTTTTTGGGGGGGGTGTCTTAAAAAAAACATGAGTTGCTATTCTCTCATTCTACAACTGTGCACATGCAATGAGGAGTTGCTAAGCGTTTGTGGCATTTTAGCATTTATATTTACATTTTTCACTGGTCACTTACAGAGCTATGTATATTTGAGCATGCTTATATTTCCTATGAATTAAAATAAAATCATACCAGAGAGAGGGAGAAGACAAAGGAGTGTTTTACCTAAAAGATGCTTTAAAAGCAGGTGGCATCTGAAAATATACCTTACATAGCTGGGATTGCATTTGTTTATTGGAACAGGAAGGCAAAAATTAACTGAACATTAAAATTAAATAGTGGCATTGTCAAGGACTGCTATTTGAATTCTAATCATTGCAGCTGATTGTTAAAAGGAGATTTTAATTCTAGGGGTGCTCCTGATCATGGCTTCACTCCTGGGTGCCCAGGGAGTGGCTGTGCCCAGGAGTGCTTCAGTAACCAAGGCTGGTGTACCAACTGCACCCTTTTCTAGAGAACGCAGATTTAGCCATGGTGACATGTGCCTTCGTTATATCAAGATTGGATTACTACAGCACACTGTGCTTGGGGATGCTTGAGACCAAGAAAACTCAGCTGGTCAAAAATACTAGGGACCAGAACCAGGAGCATGTGGCTCTCTTTTATACTGCCTTTACTGGAATATACACTTAGGTGGGATTATGTCCCATTTGAACTTGGTGAACCTACTTCTGAGTAAACATGCATTAAACTGAGTTATTAATTCATGCATTAGAATGGGTTATACATGCAAATTCAAGATTTATTCAAAGTCCTTTGTGCTTGGAAATCTAAAAACGCAATTTGTCTTTATGTGCAAAAACCAGATAAAAGACTGTAAATGATTTTGCCCATTCAAGGTCTTCTACAAGCCATAATTTAGAATAATTAAGCCATGCAGACAGAATATGAATGTGCACAAACACTCATACGCATTTCTGTTAACTTCAGAGCAAACAACACAAACACACACATTCTTTCTTTTGACTTCAGAGTGAACAGAATTGGCAGATAATCACAGCTACTGGCTCAATATTTGTTTAGGCCATATTATAATATCTGCATACAATTAGAATACATTTCAAATTTCTTTTTGCAAGTACAATTTTAAGAGCAGTTTTATGCCTGGTAGTTTAGATCACTATATTTTTTCCTGATAAAAAAATTCAGGGTGTGGGTCAAGGTTATTTCTCTAATTGCTGCAGTAAAAATGCCAGAACAGATTAAAAGAAGGGGCAATTTTAATAAGCAATTAATTTTTAATAATTTTAT